GCAGCTGAGTTACAAATAAGTAGATGAGATTTGCAGAGCATTAATTCCATGCTTTTACAGTTCATTCACCTATTACTGTCTCCAGTGGACTGTGACCTTGTTTCAGTAACAAGCAGGTCTTTCTAAAAGCCCCAGCTCTTATCTGATACCTTTGTTGTGCTACGAGGTGTACCCTCAGCTGGTCAAGGGTGTAAATACTGTAGCGGATGTGACTGTGCTGACGCAGAGGAGACAAACGGGGACAGTCACAGAACAGTTATTGTGTGACATATCCATATGCCTCCTTATCAGGAGGAGGGTGGGAGAGAGCACCTTTGTGTGCCTCATGAGTGCTGGGCAGGAGCACAGGGGGTGGACTGTGTGAGGCAGGCCATTGTTACATGATACCACAAGGTGGGTATCAGAGCCACTGGTCACAAGACACACACACATGAGGGAGCGGGAGGGCTGGACAAAGAAACGCACACATACACACAGTTACACATTCAGCTTCATTACAACTGAACACCTCATAAAAAAACAGAAAAGTGGGTAGGGCAGAGATAAGAAAAAAGTCAAGGCCAAAGGCTGCAGTCAGGTCAGGTTACTGTTGAACAAGTTGTCATAGATATAAAAAGGGATATGCCACTTATACCAGCTCAAATAACCTAATATGCCAATGTGAGCCAGAGGAACACTGTAGTGTAGTGCCATTTGCACTTAGCCCGTCTGTTAAGCAAGTGGCAGCTATAATAAATAAAGTGAAATCACGTGGGGGGAGTCACAGCTTTGCAGCTACGTGTTCACAGACATGCAGGACCTGCTTCGTCTACCTTTTATGTCTTTCACAGTTTAACCTCTCGCCATGCTGCCTTTCACTGTTATCCTTCTGTTTGAGTTACATAACCTGTTTTATATAGACTATGAAATAAAATACCTTGGTGATTCTGAAGTTAGGAAACTTAAACTACAGGATTATTTTTTAGCAAAACTTAAGATTTTTGGGAATTTATTTTCCTGAAAATACATAATGTATTTTAATACCAAGGTAATGGTAGCTCTAAATCTTTCTGTTTTGATGTCTTCATATTTAATTGTATTTTAAGAGTACTGAGGAGGTCAGCCTTTTGATTTATTGAATTAAGGTCAGCATTTAACACAATCAACCTGTTTAAACAAGGAGACCTACTTTAATACTCAAGACGTGAATCCCATCTTGTCTTTGTGAATAATGCGCTTCCTCACCAATAGAACTCAGACAGTGTGGATACATGAAAAGCAGAAGTCATTCGCACACTGAAATCTGCAAAACACCACCATTCTTACTGTGGCAAACAACACACCAGGCGACCCTCAAGGTTGTGACCTCTCTTGTTTAACTATAAACATTTACAGTTTACAGTCATCACCGTATCTAAATATCTAGCATATAGGTATTTCAATCATTATATGTTTGCAGATGACGCCACCAATGATGACAGACCATGGGGATGAAACATTTAAAAGCGAAACTTCTCACATGGTCATTGCAATTGTGCTCACTCGTGTTGAAACGTAACACAAAGAACCAGATGAACCACACAGTGCTCTTGAGGCTCACCTCCTCCGTTCTTGTAGCAGAGGTATGGGAACCGCCACACATTGCCCAAGCCAACAGCAAAACCCACGCAGGACATGATGAAGTCCATCTGTCTGGTCCAAGTTTCTCTTTCCACCACTGGTACTGCTACAGCTCCATTTCCAGTCCCAGCTGCAGCCCCGTCCTGGGTGAGTGGCGGTCCAGCCCCGCCGCCCTCACCACACCCTTGGCCCACTCCAGGCACGGGAACGAGGGGGCGAGCCGACCCGCCGCCCTCCTCCTCAGACAGGGTCCCTGCCTCCAACTGGGGGACACTGATTTCACCTGGACAGAAAAACAATGGGATCAGATAGTAAAGAAGGTGACAATCTGAGGAAACAAAGAGACAGGAAAAGGAATCAATATGGTGGAGTGACACTAAGAAAATCTCTTTTCACAAAAACATAAATTAAAAAATGCACGCAATATTGCAACACCATTCAGTTCTGAAGTGCACACATCCAGAACTTCACATCACGTGTCAACACTATAGACAGATGATCTCTCAGACCACACTCGTGATGAATGGAGAGAAGAACAGACTCTTCCCATTCATTGAAATAAACAGTCGGTACAACTGTAGTCAAATATTGCAACACTTAAGCAGCAACAGGACTAGAATGAATCTTATACACATTCAATAGGTCTTATTTATAACATGAACAGCCCACATCCTGTTGCAGCTATATTATCATCACTGAGCCCTCCCCCGATGTTCATTCTGTCTGTCTCTGTCTCACAGAGTGATTAGTGTGCTGCGGTACAACACAGCAGAGAGCCGCCTCAAGGTATATCTCGGGCTCCCCTGTTACTCACAAAGCTTTCATTTCCTCTCTTTCACGTAGGTCACTGAGCAAACGCATGCAGACTCCCCAACACAAATAAGCGCAACGTGCCACTTCATTAGTGCCATTCCGTGATATTAGTGTCAGCCGCTCCGTGCTGGATGCAAAGCAAGGCAGATCAATCCAGATCAGAGCAGTTTGAGGGGAGTGTGTGAACAGAGAAGGGGGAAAAGAGTAGGGAAGGTGATGGATGTAAGCATCTACGGAACAACTCATAAGAGTACTCCTGTGGTTTAAGATCATTTGTGAGAGGAATAGCTACATACTGTATTTATGTTTTTAAAAAGAAAATAAAAATAGTTATTAATAATAATTTTCTAGGTTAAGAATAAACGAGACACCTATTGTTCTGGAGCATAAATGGGGTGTATGCCAATGAGAAAATGCTAGACACTTACATCCATGCAGGTGCAGACTGATGCATGTGCAGGAGTTGCCTAATTTTACAATCAGGGCAAGGTTTGCTGACCTGAATGATGATGCCCACATAAAAACTTGGCCATTTGCAAATCTCCTGCACTCACCAGAAGTGACACCTGCTTAGCAACATCAGCTTCAAAAAAGACTTGAGGCTGCTCAGAGTCACTTCTGGTGCCACAGTGATGGATCATTGTGTATGCATGATGTAATGAGACAAGAAGACTGAGGCATGTTATGTGCAGCTGATTTTATCCCCTACGTCAAAGCAGTGGTAGAAGCAGGGATGCTTTCATTCCCCCCAGCTTATGTCTTAGCTAGTGGTTGAATCATATGGAGGGGAAGAAAAAATAAATAAAGGACTCATTCTTAAGCAGTGGAGGTCATACGTCATACTCACCTTGGCTGGTCTCTTCCAACTCAGGTGACATGTTGCTGGGTAACGGCACAAAAAATATAGAAGTATATATATATTTTTCAATTAAAAAAAAAAAAAAAGCAAGCTGGCTGTTTTAATTTAGCCAGGGGGCAGTCGAAGTTTAATAAATGCCTGGCTAAGAAGGCACCCGGCGGGCTCAGAGAGGCAGACGGAGAGATGTAGCCACGATATACAGTGCTCCAGTTGTCTTTTTTATGATTTCTTTATTCTGAGTTTGTTATTTTCTCCCTCCTGAATATTTTTAGATATTAAAAAAAAAGGGGGGGAAAGAATCGCAGTTTTTGTGATTACCACGCGTCGGAACCCCTCAGCTCGGCCAAGAGAGATGGGAAAAAAAAATTTCACAAAGCGCCGCGGTCAGTTGAGCCGTTGACGGAGGAGATTCAAAAGCAGTCGACGAAGCACTTGAAGGTAAGCCTGAAGAATCTCATGGATAACGGTTAAATGAAAATGATACTGCGCCTTGGAGTTAAGATGCTTTGTTTTCTTTTTTCTTTTTCTTCTTCTTCTTCTCGCTCTCTCTCAGCAGCCCGGTCAGAAGTCCATGAACCTGTATGGGATGCCGCGGTTCGACGAAGAATGTGATCTGCTCCACGGTCCGTTAGCTGTGACGGACGCCTCCCCCCGCCTCCTCCCGCTGCCGGCCGACCTGATTGGCTGAACGGAGCCCAGTGCGGTGCGCACAGCATCAGCAGCAGTCAAAATGAGAGGAGTCACAAGGATGGGTTTATTACACTGCATACGTCCTTGACCTGAAATCCCACAAATAACTGCAGATAGATGCCCAAAGCGGTGTCTGAGTCGCTCTGCTTATTTGCTGCATATCTCAGGGACTGTGTTTAAGGTGTATAGGGTGCCCTTGTGCCCACCCAACCCCCCCACCAGCTGGTTCCCAGACAAATAGCCTACAACTTTACCCACTAAATGACTTTATCTGTAGTTTCCTGAACATTTTTGTTCATCCCCGCTTCCTGCAGCACTGCTTCAACAATTCCCAGTTACACAGAGATGTAACTGGGAATTGGTATACCCACAGGTACATAATTAGCCCTAGTAAATAGATGCTAATTGAATTTTTAGGCCCTGTCAGACTGCAGTATGGCAAGCTTCTCACTCCACCGTATTTATTTAATAACTCTACTTCACTAACCTGTAAATATATACAGAAGTTACAAACTCTATCATTTTTAAAATTAAAAAACAAAAAAAAAAAACCTTCTAACAGTATGGAAAATCCCAATCAGCTACTTCACAACCAGATTTAAAATGAAAATACCACTTACATGTTAATAAATAGTAATAATAATCCAACATGCACTTATTCATCAGTCAGTAATTGCACAATGAGATGCCTTCAGAGTTACTTTTAGTGCATATTGTCGATACATTTTTTCCTTTTACTTAGGCACCATGTTGAATGCAACACCACTGGGTGATGGAGTGTCCTATATTTGTGGTGATGCTACTTCTACTCAAGTGATCTAAAATTTTAGATTGCACTGTAGTCCTTGCCAGATGTATATGATATAATTGGCTTATCCATAGCAAAAGGTGCCAAAGCGATGTGATGACGCTATTACAGTTTGGATGTAAGAACCACCTCATATTCTGATCACAGAAACTGTAATTCTGTAGTTGATGTTGGACGACATCTAGTGGCCATTGTATATATCAACCGGATTAAACACAAAAGATCCCACTAACACCACTAATAAAACATTTCTTTTATATATTTCATAACATATAACAAATGTATAAGAACACAGTGACAGATTCAGTGCAACATCAAGCCGTTATAAATATGCATCACTTTAACTTAAATCACCAGGCGGTGACAATAAATAGCACTCAAATAAATAGTCAGACAATTAAATATGTTTGAATTGTGAGAAAAAGAAACACAAAAATTGGAATACCAAAGATCTAAGTTTAAATTACACCTGAAGGACGGGCCTCGCACAGCCAGTGTGACAAGTGATCCTTTAGTCCAGGCTAGAGCAGCCCTGCTTTTGCAGAAGGTATAGCAAACCTTTCTTAAATAATACTTTATGATAAAAGCTCTTTAACTCTGGAAACAAAAGTGAAAAACAGATATACAAGATCTCACAAAACTTCCCTCAAGAATACATTTACATATGAATATTGTGATATGGCTTGTAACAAAAGGCTTCAATTCCATAATATACATAACATTGACCTGCAACGGGGGCAGATGCCTAGCAAACCTAAATAGAAGGCAGGTAAGCAGGCCTATTTCTTCAACATGACTGCATCTTTTCCAACTTGCATTATGGCGTCTATAAATATCTGTTACTCTAAATCAGTGATCATTTTTTAAAGTGCAATTTCATAGGGATTACAATTCACCTGTTAATTTTGTGAGTATTTGTTATTTAGATATTAGAAATTATTTGTGAAGAAATCAATCAATCAATCTGCCCCCACAAGTCTATGGTAAAATCCATAATAAAATTCACCAAACCTGCAAGACAGATTTACTGAAAAAAGTTATGTGCTGCCATTTTGCGCAATTTTCATTTCGACTACAACATCTGACTTTGTGGAAAGGTCTGCCAGATCACACTGACTCTATTAAAAATTCTCGGCTATAGATCCTGGTGGAGGTCACTGTGTGAGAGAGATTTGTAATGGTCCTCCATGCCAGTTTTAGCTCGATACCTTTGAGCCACTAGTCTCTGGTAGCGGGCCTGCTGTTGGTAGTCTGGGTCCACATTTACCCAGCTGTTGGCCACCCACTTCACCCCACGCCTGACCAGGCAGTCGCCGTGCAAGGAATACTCATCTAACTCACCCATCCAACCTGAGGAAGCCAGGGGAGAAGATAAACAGAATTTAAGGAGGAGGAATAGATGTAACAGCTACTGGAGTGAGGTGAACAAGATGAATAAATTCAGATACATTTCAACAACAACCAGTAATGAAGTGTCAGATGAAACGCTGGATGATTTAGCGACAAAAAAGGATAATATTTAACACAGAGTTTTGTTTAGGTTTACCCAGAAATCAGTGTCATTATTATGCTACCAACTGTTGTGGTCATATTATAACTGTAAGTCCCCACGATTCAGTGTGCCATACTACACTGTATATTGTTGCCACTGAATACTTTAATATGAAAGGTGTAGTTTTGATATTTGAAACGGGTTAGACCTGGTCATACGGCAGTCAGTGTAATATCTGAATATCACCCAGTATTGCAACAGGCTTTTGTCATCTCCTTGAATACAATCCTATTGTCATTTAATCCCATGAACAATGTATTGTAGGACAAAAAATGAAAACGATGATGACACAACAAATGACCAGAAAAAGAAGCAAAAGGGCAGTAGAAAAGTAAGACTGAAGACTTTTGTTTGACAGTTTGCTTCAGTACAAGCTTTCAGCCGATCGTATGTCTATCAGCTGACACTGAATAAAGGTCTTTTTTCTCTGAAATGCAGAGACCGCCTACTTTCTCAGCAGGCATACATACTGTGGTATGTTTTCATCTCTGTAAAGTAACCACATGCAGAGAAGTTGGGATTAAAAAAGTACACTGGCATGCTTCAACCTTTCTGGATTTAGGCCTAAAGGCTGGCAAATGAACACAGTGGATTGCTCACATATGTTTTTGCACACAATAAAGCTAAATCTTTCTATTCTTACCTCTACCATCAGAGAGATGGTTGTACCAGAGGAGAGCCGTACCAGCAGTAGGTTTCATTCTCAGATTCCCTCTGCCACATGTCTCCTGAGTGTCTGTCAAATCAACTCCATCCTGGACCAGTGCCTAGGACACACAAAACTGTAAACAGCTCGTGTCTAAGCTTATGTGTTCACTTAAGTATGAGAGTCCCTGTTATGGGTCATTATCTGTCTGCATTCTAAGAAGCAGCAAGGCCACGTACAACTATCATTAATTCAGAGTGGAAAAAAACAGAAAAGAGGCTTTGCAGGTTTCTGACTATGAATTGTGAAAGCACATTTACCTGCTCTTCATAGGTACGATTATCTGCCACAGGAAAGGTGGATTCACCCCCTTCCTCTACAGAGCTGAGGTAGAATAACACGGTAAGATACCTAGGATAAAACAAGAAGGGAAGCAACAAATACAGATATTTGTGAAAAATGTCTTCCTATAACTAAAAATACATTGTTTTGTTCAACGCACTAACATGCTGATTAACTTCCTAAAGCATTGAATTCTGCTTTGTAATACAACTACATTATTTAAGCAGAAAACAAATAAATTAGAACCTCAAACTCAAACTCAAAAAATGCATTCATACCTGCAGGACACCTCTGTGAGAGCAGATGTGTTCCCTGCCAGTCGTGTGTGTGCACAGGTCGTCTCTGAGTGGGAAGGGCTGCTATCATGGTGGGCATTACTGAAGTCTCCGTTCTCAAAGCGAATCACCTGCAGTGGTTCACTCAGTTCAACCAATGCAGAGGGCAAACGTGTGAGACTGGTTACTCTAAGTAAAAGAAACAAGACAGCAAAATAGTCTTTCACATTTCAACTACAAGTGTATCGGTTACGAAGAGCACAGAAAAGAGTACATATCGGTAGTGACCTGTTCCTGAGTGTGCGCAGCACATGGTGAGATCCTGGGCCTTGGTAGAGCCATGTATGCTTGCTTCTCTGTTTGAACCGACTATGGAGCCTCCCACTTTGTGCTTGTCCTGGACGTTGGGACACATCATAAACACGCCTAAAATCTCCCAACGTCAGCATCCCTGCCAGACACACACACAAGGATAGAAATTATTAAAGCAGTCTCACGGTTATGCAGTATCATGATTCCAATGCAGTATAATTCAGTTTGGAATTCTACTACAGTGAAGAGCAGGCTACAACAGCCTCCCTTCTCTCTATTCTTCCATTCCTTCCCTCTTTGTCCAACCATGTGCTGTTAGTCTCAGCTGAATGATTGTCTGGCCCCCATCAGTTCCCCTGGGAGACCGCGCCCCAGCCGCAACAATAGCTCTGGGGTGCCAGAGAAGAGGTGGCTGGGGAGGAGGGGGTAGGGCGGTGGGTGAGCCAAAGAGTGTGGAGGAGGGAGTTGGGGAGTACAGGGTATCCGGGGGAAAATTAAGAAAAGGGGTTGGAAAATAATCAGTTGTTAATGAGATAGGACGAGGCACATCCGGACTGGGATGTGTAGAATGCCTGGCACAATGGTATCAGGTCAAAACGGTGTCACCCCTCTTCCTGCCTTGCCACTCAAAAAGACTTGCACGCAATCACAGCCACCCGTCAGCCATTCGCTGTACTCTTACCACTACACAACCACTGTAGGAAACACACAACAGCAGAGAACTAGCCTAGTGGATTTATTTGTTACACATCTGAGTTTGGCAGCCTCACTCCGAAACACTGACTTAAATGAGGGTGCTTGCATGTAAGTGGGTTGGAATTACAGAAATCAGATGAGGACAAATTTTAACTAGCGTAAAAATGAATAGTGGTGGATATTTGTGTCAAAAAGGACATCACAATTACAAAAACTTCTTTTGAACTGAAACTTAAAATGATGGTCAAAAGATGAATTCATTAACCGATTTCATTTGAAAACACATTCTACTAGTGTGTCACAAAAGAATTCCAACCTAGTTTTGATGTGTCTTAACTCAGATGATGCTCTTTATTGAATTTCCCTTCTGGGATAAATAAAGTATTTTTCATTTCATTTCATTCATTTCATTTCATGTCCTAAATGGAATCACAAATCTACTGACACCCATTAGACACAGGAGCACAGACCTGTTGGGCAGGCTTCCAGACCAGTCAGTATCTGTCGTAAGTTGTCTGGGCTCAACCAAGTACCATCTCGAGAACGTGAATGACTCACAATCTGGAGAAAAGACCACATCTCACTTCAACAAAAAGCATAATATGCTCTGATAGTTTGTGTAACATTTCATGACTTTTTATTATTTCACGACTTCACAAATGTATTTTTTGCTAAATCAATTTTCCTCCTGCAGCTGTGTCATATATGTTACCTCTTGCTTCTGCAGCAGCCCGTCTTGGTTCAAATCCAGCAGACTGAAAACCTCGTCTGTGCTGAGAGAAAGAAGTGGCTGGTTTGATTCTTCTTGTCCCTGGCTGGGTGCTGTTGCCTGGCTGTCCATCAGACCCTTGAGCTGAGCCAGCTGCACCACCACACGGCACTCCTCCTCTGACAGGAAGCCAGGGATCTCTGACAAGAACACAAAAAAGACAATAGTGGTGACTGCTATGACATATGGTTGATCAAAGAGATGGGCTTGGAGATTGAGCAAGGCTAATCAAAAACATGCAAAGTGTGGCGGAGATTCAAAGACAAACTGTTGGCTCATACATTCACATGTTAATATTACACATGACTGCTAGGTAGCTGTAAGCCACGAAGTGATTAAAAGCAAATAAACTGTAACCATTTCTTTTTACTTGCAGACTGACACCGGTAATTACTGATGTCTAATCTGTCACCTACTTTCATTCATGTTTAAAAAGTAACACCAACAACCTCTGCAGACACACAAGTCAAACAGAACTTTGTTGCACATCTGAACTGGTGACAGACTGACAGACCTTAAGTGGATTAGCAAGATTTCTGTTAAGAGTTTTGGTAAGATCTGTCAGACGGCTAAACTGATTATTTAGATTGCCTAATAAAACCTTTCAGAGAGACAGCCTGATCAATGCATGATAGCAAAAAACAGACAGATCTTAATAGAATTAGTTCTGAACCACATATTTGATTTATGTTCTGAAAAAAAAAGAAAACAATCTTTGAAAATGTACTTTCCATGTTGTAATAATGCAGACCACAGGAATAAAGAGTTAAACACTTATATAATATTCCATTTAATTGTAATAAAATGAAGCTAAAGCAAAAAACTCGCTGCATATTTATTTGTTGCATGTGTTATGTTTCAGTCGGGGTTTAAGGTAAGAAAGTCTTGCATGATTGTGCACATATACTGTGTATATAATGAGAGTCTGTCACTCCACAGTGGGTCATTTGTGGTAAAGTCTATCTCACAGGCAGTTTTAATGAGTGACGACACTGGACTTCTTCCAGTGGGGGGAGGTAGACAGTCCGGGCTTCTGGGAGTCAGTAACTGCTAAAATTAATTAGTACAAAGTAGTAACAGAATCAGAATTTGGCATGCTCATTCTCATTTACACATGATATATTTACTGCCTACGCTGTACCAAGCCGCCCAAGAGCAAATCCTCCATTTTGGTATCTAAATTTTGATATCTGCTCCGAAATATTTATTTCAGTGGGTCTGCCCGCATTTCCTGGACAATTAGATACATCAGCAATAATCTTATTTTATGTATACTTCTTCATCCATTCATAGAATTTTTTCAGATGTAAGTGTGAATGCATTCAGTACTGTTTCATGATTTCCTCGTGTTTACTTCCAGCAATCCATCCATGTTTCTCAGTCATGTCCCCTCCTAATAAAAGGCTTCCGGCAGGTTGGCTGCTTGTACAGTAGAGGCCTTGTTTGTCACCCGTGTCTTTTACACTGTACCCTCGGTTAATCCCTATTGTCCAGTCAAGCCTCATTAATCTGGATAACTGATATGAATGAAGGGGGACTGAGCCTTCCTCTTCTCCCTCCCACCACTGTCTCTCTTTCTCCCCCCGGAAAGGAAGTGACCTGCTTGTCTGAACAGGAATCAGGCCATGGCTACACAGCAGGACAACACTAATTTTGTTTGTATCCTACGCACATGTTCACACGCATACAAATGTACATACAGTATGCACTTTCATGTATGCAAGTGTCCACACACAAGCTCCACATCTTCTGTCATTTGGAGAGATTTTTTTGATGAATGTTTCTTGAACGTTTATGGGTCAGCAATGACCTCAACCTGTGACAATTTCATTGTCTCTTCTGTCTTTATCACTACGGACATCCTCAGTCTCTTGTAAGTAATTATAAAAACTTTAATCTAAGATGGAATTTGTTGGGGGAGGGGTGATCAAAAAGGTGCAAACAGCAAAGAGGTCAGGGTGGGACAAGGCAGTCACTGGAAGAAATGTGGAGTGGAAAGGGTGGAGGAGTTTCAGTACATCAGGACCAGTGTCTTCCACAGTTCAAGCAGCTGGCACAACAATTGGCAGAAAGTCAAAAGTGCCAAATCCTCGATGCTACAAATTTTGAGCTCTGTCAAACACACTTAAATCTGCTCATAAATGCAAGTCAATTCACATCTCTTGTAACACTTTAATACGTTCCCTACCCCTTTCTCCCTACTGTTTGCTACACCTCCCCTCACCCCCTTCATATGCAAATCTGTTCAGAGCCCACTATAAATACACCTATTCTGTCATCCTCTTCTCCACTTTCACACAGAGATCTTCATTTACTCAATAGACACACTTTTCCTGTTTTCCAACTTTTGTCCCAGGATAACTGCAGTGATCTGTCCTCGTTTTATATCCAGAATGTCCTCCCATTCAGCCTCCATGCTCTTTCTTCTTCTGCTTGCTGGGCCTAGCAGCACATTAGCGCTGAGTCCTGGTAGAGTAAGGGCAGGGCTGGAGGGACGAGTCAGGGCAGAAGGTAGGGTTCGATCTGGAGCAAAGGACAAGACCGGGGACAGGGCGAGCATTGTAGGCAACACTGAAACAGGTATTGGAGATACTCATGTTTCTAAGCCAAGAGTGGCAGTTGGAGAAGATGGTGAGGTGTGGGAGGATCCTGATACTACGACCAACTTCAGGTCCACACTTTCTATCAGCGAAAGTGGACTATGGGAACCCCGCAGCTTCTCTCGCTGTGTCCCCATCCCCTCGGGCATGGCCTTGTGCCAAAACATTGGCTATGACACCATGAGGATGCCCAACCTGCTGGGCCATGAGTCTCCAGCTGAGGCTGTACAACAAAGTGCCAGCTGGTTACCACTACTTGCAAGAGAGTGCCATCCCGATGCCCGCATTTTCCTCTGCTCTCTCTTTGCTCCAATCTGTCTTGACAGGTAGGTTTACAAAACAGTTTTTGTATATAGTCAAAATTTTTAAGAAATCAGGTTTTTGTTTTTAGTAAATTTGATTTTCACAAGACATTGTCTTATAAGTTTAATTGTACAGACTTTGTATTGCAAAAGTGCAGTAGCCAGGATCCCAGTGGGAAGAAAACAACCAGGAATGCCCAGCTTAATTAATAGAAATAAAAATACTTTAAATGTTAGATAAATGATTATGTTAAATAGGGGCAGATTCATCATGGGATAATGCCCTTTTGACAGCTATTGCACAAATTGGTGCTAGTCTCTGTGGAAAGAACCTGGTTTCACAGAGAATCCAGGCCATCAAAGGACCCTTATCAGTGTCAGTTTATCACCTCCCAGTTGAGAAAAAGAAAAGCAAGCACCAAATGTTATCTAATCCAGCTCTGTGTGTTCTCCACCATTATATTATTGATCCGATCCTTTCAACTATTCACAGCCGCCAATACTCCCTCTCCATCTCTTCCTTACCAGGTTTATATCACCCTGCAGGAGTTTGTGTGAGTCTATACGAGACAGTTGTGCACCAATCATGAGTTGCTATGGCTATCCCTGGCCTGAGATTCTGCGGTGTGACCAGTATCCTGCAGACCATCTCATGTGCATCTCCTCCATCACGAACACCACTGTTCACGCAGGGGGGCGTAGAGGTGAGAAAGTGGCTACACAGACATGCATGCTTGAGTAAACTTCATTCAACAAACTATTCAATTAGTGGTTTGACTGTTCCAGTGCCTCAGGCAAGCTGTCGGGATTGTGAGCTGGAAGAGGCCTCCTCTTCAAAAGAGACACTGGAGACATTTTGTAGGAGTGATTTTGGTGAGTACTGGTATTCTTCCAACTAAAATCCCTTTTTGCACATTTCTTTGTTGGTGATTATGAGACAAGAGTGCACTGTTAATAAATACATGTTGTCACTCAGGCTTTGCGTTCATCTGCTTTCTCTACAGTTGTGAAACTGCGTCTAACAAGGCTCAAATATAGTCCAGCAAGTCTTTCTCAGTTCTCGTTAGCTGCAAAACTGGACGTCCTGAAGCATGGACCCCTCTTGGGTGGGCAGATCCGCTCTCGCATTGAGCTGTGGTTGGAGAGAGATGCCACCTGCGTAAGGAACATGACACGGCAACACCCGCGAGGCGGCACTTTCCTCGTAACAGGCACAGTGCAGGGGGAGCGCCTGGTGGTCAACAAAGCTTACGCCTGGCAAAAACGAGACAAGGACCTCATGGCAGCTGCTCGCAAATGGAAACATCACCGATGCAGGACTTAGGATTGTGTGTTCAGTTATCAAATTCAGAAGAACTACAGTGAAAATTTGAAAAAGCATTAAGCAGCTATGGTTAGGGGATAGCAATTAGATTTTCACAAGTCCACAACTGTAAATTACACTTGGTCTCCTCTTTACAAGTGGTTTTTGGAAGAAACAAAACAGAGAGAGCTGGTTACAAAGGTTATGCATCATCAATCTGTCTTTCTGGCAGTTGAGGTCAAAGCAATAAACGTTGTTTAGTAGAAAATGTACATATCAGTTAACTTAATATTGTTGGTCTATATTTGTATGCTTTGAGAATGATTAAATTTTGTGTTCGAAACCTCAAGGAAATGGCATTTATTCAAGATTAGCAGCTCATATCCATAAACACCAGTGTACTTACCAAATAGCAGAGGCTTTAGGCTTAGTGTCCTCATCTCATGTGTCCTGTCAGGCACAAGGGACACCTGCTGAACATGTCCAACCTGCAGATGTAAACAAGACAGTGTGTGAGTGTGGGTGTGGGTGGCTGTCTTGCTATAGTAGCTCTAAGCAACATTATATGCTGAGGAATTAGATGTTTTTTTAGGTCCAGGTGTTGCAGTTATAACATTTTTTTCACCAGGCAGCAACATTTGACGAGGGCCTTACAGCATGCAGTGGCTGTGGAAATGAGTGTTAACTCCTGTGAGTGTGTAGTTTTTGTTTTTTTTAATGTACTGACCCTTTTGAGATGCACTTTTACTAATTTGCCGCATGACACTTTTCATCAGAGAGCTTAAATGGCATGCTTTATCATACTGAAATGTTGTCCATTTCTTACCCGTATCCCCTCAATGCGAGGAAGACTGAAACTTTGACTGTAGTCCTCCACATGTAGCTCTCCTGAGGATGGGGCAGGAGGGGGTAAACGGCTTCCAGTGTCGCTGACTGGTGCTGAGGAGCCCCTGTCCCCACTGACCAGATCCCCGGGGCCGTTGTTGTAGTGCACGTAGAGCAGCAGGGCGATGACATTCAGGATGTACACGTGAAAGAAGACCATGACCACAACGAAATAAGCCCGAGAGCAGACATTACTTCTCTGGATGTGCAGTCGAGTGGACCGAAAAGGGGCATTGAAGGGGGGCAATGATGGTTCGTCGCTGTCCACGGTTTCCTCCTGCTCCATGAAATCTTCCTGAGTGTCTTCCATTTTAAACTACTGCAAACTAGCCGCAATGGGAAGCCTGATATATTACATAGATATATGGGCAACGTTACTGCAAGAGGCGACCAGATAAGGTGTGTTTGATAATGTTAGCTGGCTGCTTGACGTTAGCAACTATAGCTAGCTGGCTAGCTACGGAGCAAACCCCACCTCAAACCTCTGACTGTTTCGACAAAATTGGACGTCGTCGTCTCCGCTGCTTTTGCCCAAAGAAACAGGGTGGTTTGGGCCGAGAAAGCAGATGTGCCGACTGTCGTGTCCTTTGATAAATAAGTGTGTCATCATTAACTGAAGGCCCTTAATCCCGTGTTAGCTAACTGACGCGCTGCCCCTGACAACCTGCCTAACAACCAGACAGACAAGCTGACGAGTCAGGAGCTGCGGCTTCACAGCGGCAGCAGCAAAACGTTAGCGACCTCTACTGGTCAACTCCAAACTGTTTTTAAAATAGATGTATTCACGCTTTAGTGTTTTGGAGTTGTTTAAAACCTTTTTTTTTTTAAATATTGCACGATTTTACCTCTCCCGACCTCATGGGGTTATTTATATGAAACTATCTGAGGTCACACATTAGCCTATGAAGTTGGGAACCACAGATTTGATCTTTTCAGCATTTTATAAGCTTATAATTTGTTTGTACTGAGACATTTTCACCAATCCCAGTAGTGGTCAAACACATTGACCACTTGATGAAAAAAAAATCCCTCTGAAATACAGGTGAGTAGAACTTTACTCGTAAATAATCTGTGCCAGTTATTTAATGGTCAAAGAGGAGGAATTACTAGAGACAAATTTAAGTTAGGTAAAGAGAAATATTTAGATTCTGATAACCTCTTATAGACCACACATTATTAATTACCAATAAATGAAATGCAGTCTTGGAACAGTGTATTCTATTATTTGTTTTACCCTTCAAATAACACTATAAGCTATGCGCTTATCTGTTATTTGCTTTCAGTTGCACTTGATTTAACTATTCTTTCCATTTCATGCTCATCATGTTCACTTACTTAGAATCCTTTCTTTACATTTCACAATTTCTGTGTCATTCATTTCAAAAAACAACGTGGAGACTCTCTGAAATCTTTCTCCTCCTTTTCAGGTTTCACTATGTATTTGCTTATGGCAGTGTTAACTGTTCTTTTTTTGCAGCTGACACAGAAGTGTAGTGTGTGTGTGTGTGTGTGTGTGTGTGTGTGTGTGTGTGATTATCAAAGTTGTGCTTAATTCTAACTGCGCCACCTGGATTTTGCTTTGTTATCGTTCTAATCATTTATGTGTTTACATTTTTAGACCCAGATTTTATGTTTTGTGACTGATTTTTGTAACTGTGCAATGGACTGATCACCATGCATCTTAAAATTACACATCCTGCTCGTACCAGACCTTTAATTTAAATTCTGTATTCTGTAGTTTACTAGTGTCTGCTACGAATAATTGAATGCCTTCTATCTATTGTGTGTTGATGCTGCTGGAAGTTGTGAATTTCCACACCAGAAGGAATTAAGTATCTATCTATCTATCTATCTATCTATCTATCTATCTATCTATCTATCTATCTATCTATCTATCTATCTATCTATCTATCTATCTATCTATCTATAGGATAGATAAAGGACTCAGACTTTAGGAAACAGCAAGTTTCTGGTGCAGTCTCAGTAACTAAAAATATTCAAGTTCTTCTTCTACATGTGCTATGCACACAAGGACAACAGATTATAGTCCCTATAGTGTTTGGTCCAGTGAATGAATTTGACCTATGAATGAAATCTGTGTGTGTGAGAAAGAGATAGTTGTTGTTGAAGTTATGTTACAACCTTGCTGTGCCACCTGGATTTTGCTTTGTTGTCGTTTTTATCATTTATTTATTACATTTTTGATGACTAAATTATTTTTTGTTATGATGACCATCTCAAAAACATGCATAATTTTGAAACTTAGTTGTTAAACAATCTAAAAAAAATAATAAACAGGCTCAGAATTTGGAAAACTTTCTGATGCAGTCTCTGCAAATAAATTCATTCAAGTTCTTCCTCTACACATGCTATATGCAAAGAGACTATGGGTTGTAGTACACATGCTATGTGCCTAGGGACTACAGGTTAAGTAGCTTCTGTAGGATTTGCTCTAGTGCGGTGGTTCTCAACAGGGGGGCCACAACCCACTCAGGGACCACAGAGAGCCGCCGGGGGGGCCTTGAGATGCCTCTGACTGTTATTAAGAACAGTACAAAAAATATTCTCATGACAAAATAACGAGAGAAACTATATCTAACTAAACATATATCCAATCTGTAGTGCTTCATTTATATAAACTAACTACAGAGCCCAATAATAACAAATAAATAAACTGATCAAAATGCAGTGTAGGGCAGTAACATGGCCGTACGCATCACTGAGGTTCCCATTGTCTGGACCTTGGTATTTGTTCTGGAACTTTTCATTGGACGTAGAAGGACCTTGGCAGCAGAAAGGTTGAGAACCCCTGCTCTAGTGAATGAATTTGGCCTGATTTGGAAATCTTTATGTGTGTGAGAGAGAAAGATAGATGTTGAAATTATGATTAAATTATTAAGTCCTTACTGAACCACTCGGATTTAGCTTTATATCGTCATCATCATTTACGTGTTTGTGTGTTTTATTACACCTACATCCTGTGTTTTGTGTCTAATGACCCTCTTGAAAAAGACATGATGCATCATGTTGCAGCAACTAAGCAAGTTTCCGAAAGCGTCCTCCTTCCGTGCATGCTGTGTGTATAGAGACTGTGGGGCAGTTCCCTGCACGTTTTGCTCCAGTGAATGAATTTGGCCTGTGAATGAAATCGGTTGCTGAATAAACCACATGGTGGCGATGAAGGCCAGCAGGCAGACTTGTACTTCACCAACTGTGTTTGCTGTGTCATCTGTGATTGTCGACGTAATTGCTGGGGGATCCAGGAGATCCCCTTATAAAAATGGGCTATAATTTAGCTTCTTACTTATGTATGAGTTAAAAAGCACTCCAGGCTGGTCATGTGAACATCATACCTCATAGCCACATGCTTGTTTCTGAACCAAACTTAAAATAGTTAAGACTTCTGTGAAATCTGGGCCTGCACATTCTAACTCATGTGTGCATCAGTGGGAATTTAAACCTCACAGCACAACTTGGCAATTACTGTGTTTTTCATCCATGTTGATGCCAACTAAGCAGCAGTGCATTATACAGTTTGGATTTCCATAATTCCCATGCATTATTCACCAGGAATTTTTCTCTGAGGTGCATATTTAGATTTGAATGGAGCTTCGGATAATGAAGGCTAATTTCCCTGGTGACAGTGCCCCCCGAAATTAATCTATTTGACCTCCCCCTTTTTTTTTTTTTTTTCTTTTTTACTTGGAGAGACTGTTGGAGCTGGAGGGGGGGAGTTAATGTTAAAGGCTCTGATGCGCACAGAACATTCTCACAGGCACACGCACACCCCTTGCGGTGTTTTCCGGGATCACGCCACCGCTTCCACTTGGGATCCAGCATCAGCGATATGGCTGATCATCACCGGACGGGACGGTGCCGTTCTTGAGCGAAAGTTAACACACGAATAATGACTTATTACGCGTCCGCGATGCGCTTATTCTGGCGACGGGACACTGCGGCACGCCGTGTGACGCTGGGGTAGGAATTATCCGACGGGGGTTAACTGGCAATTTTGGTGTATTTAACAGCAAAGTTATTGGAGGAACTTGTCGCAGTGGATCCCCGGCGTGCTGCCTGGATTACCATACACAAGTGGAACAATAGTCTCCTGCAGCAGGAACGCAAGCAGGTCAGTGTTGTTTATATCGCTCACTCGTTTCGATTCCGTATTGACAATGTTGGGATATTGGGCACACACGGCTGTCCTATCACCTGACATTGCAGGTGGACTCGACTTGTTAAATCAGAAGCATTTGAATGATTTTGACTGCGTAAGTGTGCGTCCCGATGTGGACACTTTGGCACTCGTCACCGATCCCCTGCAGAAATCGCATTAGGACCACTAAAGTGACGATAAATGGCGATCCTAGCGCCACGGTCCGAGCGTATTTAACTCCCAACAGAGCGGTGGATTTGAAATTTCGCAACGATTCTGGCGACAAAAAACCCAAACATCCAGTGGCGGGGATTAACCCCAGCGCTATTTCCACAGAGTTTGTGCGCCGGCCGGGCGGCTGTGCAACTTTTTCCCTGCCCTGCCTGACTCTCCTCCTCCCGGATACTTGCGTCAGGAAAACACGGGGAGAGAGGAACTGACCGAAAACGCAAAAGGCCTGGAAGGTAGAGAGGAAATCTCCGCCAGCCAGGCCCCGACACGAAGCGCTGCGCGTTCGGTTCGTGTCCCCGGGGTTTATCCGCTCGCTTGCCCGCTTTGTGTTCGTCCTGCCCGGCGGTCACTTGGGTTTGTGTCGTTTGCAGGACGCTTCGCTCGTCCGCCAATGTGCCAAGTCCGGTGCTGCGGTTCTGCAGTGGTTCTCCCGTGGACATGGGTTGAACAATTAATGTTGAACCCATGTCTGTGAACGTTTCATTTCTCAGCAGCGTGTTGGGAGTATCATTTGCCGCTAAATTATTTATGTCCATCTCAATGTGGGATGTCCAGATTGGAAAAACATCCCATCAGTTCTTGTGCCCTTGCAATGCACCTCTGCTGAAAAAACACTCTAATGATCCCAGAACAGCTATAACCCAGTGCTGTACCCGTGTGTTTTACCTGTCTTATACCTCTAGATTGCAATTAACAGTATTTAGAAGCCTTATTTTACTGTCACCCAGCTGTACACCATTCTGAGGTCAAATATTGTAATTTTTACCCAGAAAAGGGCCTCACTGAGGTTTAAAGCTATTGTACAGCAGCATTTTGACAATCAATTATAATAATGATAATAATAATAATAGTAATACTGACAAAAAAATGAAATTTTGGCTTCCCAATTATTCGTATGCTGCAAACTTTCCATGGATTTATGTCAAGATGATATTAAAAACAATGTGGTGTCATTATTAGACAAAAGTTTCTTTTCCAGCTGCATGTATAATGTAATGTATTAGCCAGCATGTTTCTAAGTTTTGTGTGAAGTAATAAGTAACAGTGGGGCACAGGTCATTGCACTGTACTGCAGTTTGATTTTTCCAATTGCAGGTTTTACATACATCTGCCGTATAGACGTCGGAGAACTATGCTTATTAAATGCTATTGCACCCAGGCTCATGTTAAGTTGTACAGATCTTTCTATGCTCGGTGTGATCCCTGTGATCCAGATCTGCCAACAATCATAGAATCAGACCCTATTCTCCGTCCTCTTGTGGATGAAAATGGCATTTCAGATTATTTCCCTAGTTTTTTTTTTTTTTTTTTGCTATGTGTGATTTAGTTTTTTTTTTAAGTTTGCTTGTGCTCATCTTCTTCCAAGATGATTTTTTCTCTTCATCTTACTCTGGAGATTTAGGTTAAGTGATGGAAGGGATGCAGAGGGGAAGCCACTGGGCTTGTCAGGAGAATAGACTGTTGTTTGGGTTATCTATTTATGTGTTTTTGTGTGGATGTGTGTAGGATTCTGTAGTTGGGCAGATTTGTGCATTACTCATGCATCCTCAGGCCGCTGCGCAAAAGCAGCGTTTGGAGTGCCACTGAGTGCCCGTTCCACTCTGCCACATTGCATGTGTGTGCATGCATGCGTATGAGTTATATGTGTCACCGAATGGCAGAATAATACTCGTTTGTTTTTAATGAAAAGGAAAGAAAGAGAGGCATAGGTCGTAAGATAATATGGCTGAAACAAAACGAGACCCAAAAGGCATTTGTGTGTCTTGTTTGGATGCGACTGTGTCATATATGCAGCTTACTAATGAGTGTGGATGGCACATAGATTCTGCAGGCTTAGGTCCTCGCTTCCATTCAGAGGCTTAGCTGGAAGTGGAATCCCAGAGCCAGGCTGGCAAGGATTGCATGATGCAGTGCTCTGCGGTGTCCCAATAACTGGAGGGCTGGAAGTTTCTGAAGCTGACATGAGCATGTGTGAGAGAGTGTCTGTGTGTGTGTGTGCATGAGTGGCGAGTACAGAGAGATGTGAATTGTTTTATTCTCAGCCTTTCGCCTCTATCTATCTCCTTTCTTTTTCTTCTTCTTCACTTCACCTCAGAGACAGAAACTGCGGTTCCAGCCAGGGCCTGTAGCCTAGCAACCTAAATGGTGTGTGTCTTGAATAAATCAGACTGTGTTCCTCTTCTGTCCTCCTCAGGGGTGTGTCAGTTCACCTCACCTCCAAGCTACCACAACTGTGCAACCACCCCAAACATGTGGGAACACACGAGCACATGCTCACCAGCTGCTAACAGACAGAAGAATGACTTGTTATTCCTTTGCTCCTGTGTATCAGTCACCCCACTAACCTTTGCTCTGTTCTGTTTGTTTTATTACGCAGCTCGTGTTCTGATGTGCGTGAATTCGTGCACCGTGTTGCTTTCAAACACAGTCGAAACAACACAAGTGCTGCCTTTGAATGTCGTGGGGAGCGAGTTGAGCCTCTGTCGTTTGGAGTGTGTCCCTCCGTTTAGTAGGAGTTATGTATCTGAGTTGTTTGTGGTTTGCCAGGTGTCTGGTGAGTTTGGCCCGCGCATGCTGTTGCCTGGAGCCACATGCCTCGTCCCACTCACTGAAGCTCTTCACACTGCCACGTCCATCTGCACTAGACAAGGCCCAGTATCCAGTGGACATTGATAGCACTTCATTTTTCCTTCAACTTTTTTGTTTTTTGTGACCAACACATATATACACATTGAAATGTCGTATATCTTCCCTAAACATTAAAATTTGTTACCGAATGCAGCATAGCCCCTAATTTTTCTACACAAAGCTCAGATTGTAGTTTTGCAGCAAAGATTTAAACATACAGAAATGTTATTATACCACAAAAATGGGGCTAAAATTGTAATCGAAGGCTATTTAATGCAGATAAAAGAAAAGATCAAGCTAAACATTAATGGATATTCTTGGTATTTCATGAACAAAAGTTAAACAAAATGAATGCTGTTTGCTTTTTTTGTGTGGAGATGTTTATCACAGACACTAACCTTTATTTTGTCCCAGTATAAATACAACCATAAGTCTGTATATATATACATATACAATACGCAATCGTATCTTGAAGTGGTTCTCTCAATAACCCGCTGGGAAATGAGATTTCCCCTAACTGCTCATGCTAATTCAACACAGATAAGATGAAGACTGTGAAATTAGTTATTAATATGTGTCTACGTGTGTGTGTGCATGCATGCATGCCTGGACGCTGGTCCAAGTGTGGGTTAGTGATAACATTGCTGTGTATTTATCTGGGTAATAAGCAGGGTGTCATAAATCAGCCGTTTCTTCATTATGCGACTCACTTATTTCTGAAAATTTGTGGACGATTTGTGCATGAAGAGGACCCAATTTTCTTGTCCAAGCTGGCTGATTCTCTAATGAACTCTGGGAAAACATGCAAATGAGGGGGGAGGGAGATTGATAATCCATGTAGCTGGATGATATGAAATACATGTGAGCAGCTTTCTTTTGGCTCTTTTGTTCCCTTCTTCAACTTTTTTTATTTTTTTTTTTTCTCTCATGTCAGACATACCCATTTAGCTGAGGTGCAGACCACATCCAACTGGGCTCATGTAAACTGTCAGATGCGACGCTCATAGCAATAAATGGTCTTCTAAGCACATCTTTTGGTGAAAAAAGCCAGTTGTCTGTAGCGAGGATGTTTGAATTCCCTCAGAGCGCTGGTTGTCTCTAATAGGCCTGAAAGACTGAGAGCCTGAAAGGATGAATGGCTTTTGTTGAAGCCTCCAAGGTTGGACACAAAGAGAAAGGCAGCGGGTGCAGTGTGTATTTGTGTGTGTCGGTGTGTGTGCTCGTGCGTGTCAGCTCCCAAGCCCTTATGGGCTAGATAGAAGGAGCAGGAAGTGGAAGGGAAACAGAAATACTCCGCCATACCGCCTCTACCTTCAGGCCAGTGAAGCAGAGAGTAGACGAACAAAGTGACTTCCACACACAAAAATACACACATGCAACGACACGTATACTGTACATACTCTTATAAACCAGATATTAAATGTCTGCTGAGGGGCACTCTCAACAATATATAACTTTGAAAGCTTACTGACGCTAAGAGGTATACAAACACAAACACACAGTGCTCACAGTTGGGTCACCAGCGAATATACCGAGCACTTTGCTAGGATAACAATATGCTTCTTCCCCCTTTATTTTAACGGTGGCATGGTGCTCTCTCCTGCCTTTCTGCTGTACAGCACCTGAAGCTCGCTTTCCATCGGAGTTGTGTGCTTGTTGTCACAGGAACATTGCTTTCGAATGGACCGCTGTAGAGCCATAAATAGATTATACATATGAACTTTATTCTTGTGTCTCATGATAATTTGTCTGCCATGTTTTGTTTTTTTTTCTTACATTGGGAAATTTTTATTCCATGAATTTATTATGGATACCACCAGTGAAATGCATGTCAATCACAGCTCATCAGGGACAGGTGCTCTTGTCTGAAACCTCTGGGGAGCTGCATAGTCAGCCATTTACATGTTTTTTTTGTACATTTTTGTTTGTTGTTCTCTTTCTCTCTGCCTCTCTGGGTTTGTCTCTCTCTCATTCTTTGTCTTTTATTTTGCAATGTTTGCACTTGGGATACATAACAATGAGAACACACGCTGCGTGAGCAAACACAATCATTGGGAGCCCAAAGAACTGCAGAAAATGCGCAGAGGCTGCACTGCAGTAGTCACTGGCTGTAATGACAACAATGGCCACGATTATGATGTTGGAGATGCAGGTGGTGCTTTTGATGGTAATGATGATGTTGCTGGTTCCCCTTTAGGCCCGTGGGCCCCAGTGGTGCGACTGAGAAGATGGACAGGATGAAGATAATAAAACGGAGACTGTCCATGTCTCTACGCAGCGCTCGGCCCGTCGATGACTCTCTGTCCGAACTCGCAGAACAGATGGCGCTGGATGAGCCATCCACAGCCAGGGACAACGGTGAGACATGAACAAATGCACGCACGCACACGTATTCACAAGCACCCAAGCGGATGCCGTCATTTAGGCATATTGTAGGCGTGAGGTGGCCTACTTCAAAATTCACAGCTCAAAAACCAACCTAAATTGTCTTCTATGTGAATAGAATGTGTCGTATTAATTTATACTACACCATCTGCACTGTGGCAATATACTGTATAGATAGATAGATAGATAGATAGATAGATACCTTATTTATCCCCTTGGGAAAATCCAGTAACTCATATGTTACATTTAAGAAAAGTAAGAAAAATAACATACAAAATAACATGCAGGTAACAGAAGAAGCTTTAAAAATGGTAGCAAGGTAGCATGTGTTGTCATGATGATGAAGAGTAATTGTGTCACCTCCACAACCCTCTCGGGAGTCACACAGTGATTAGTTTGACTCCAGCATCTGTTATGACTAGTATTTCACCTCACAAGAGCAGTTATTGAAGAGCAGTTGCTCATGTTCTCTCACAGTTAAAGACCTTACAACTTCATTTGGAGCTGTTTCAGTACATGAAGAAGCATTACATCACTTTTTTTTTTTTAACGGTGAAAATGGTAAAAAAACAAACAAAAAAACAACAACATATTTTTGGATTATTGTAAGTGATACATGAGGGTTAGTTTGCAAACGTGTGGCAGCAGATACCACATTTCTCCTCCACTCTTTTATGTCCTTCATTTACACTGATCCAGAACTGAGATAATGTGTTTTTATTGCAAGTAACCCATAAACACTATTTGCCCTTGTTTCAGAAACCTGTGTGTCATGGTATTTTTTTCCAGTACTCTCACAAAAGCACACAGACATGCTTTTTTCACCCACCAGAGCCATTCTAACTACCGTCTTCTTTACATCATCATCAGCTTCATCACAACTAACTTCACTGTTCACTACACTTCATTACTTAATCGTCAAGACTGAAAGGCACAGTAAGATGGACGTGCATGTGACTTCGAAAAGCTTTTTTTGTATTATTCACACAAACAAAATGTCTTAGCTGCTCATATAAAGGGTGAAAAGCAATGTCATGCTCAGAAACCCTGGTTGCCATCTGCTGGACATCTTCCGGGATTGCAGGTTCCACTTTGGAAAAATCAGAGACCTCAAACCCAGACAAGGTGTGCATGTGATTGTCTTTGTGTGTGTCTGCGTCATATTCTGGCACCAGGCAGAAACCAGGTCAGAACATGCCGTTGCCTCAGCTTCAGCAGGTGATTTTCACTCAAAAAAAAACAAGAGAAAACACGAAAAGCCTCAGTGTTCAAATATTGTTGTACTATCTTAGCTGCTTTTGCAGTTTGGCTATAAGGAGGGGTGATGTTTGTTCTGCTTTTTCAGCTCTCGGGCTGCAACATCCATACCTCTATCTGATTAATTTCCCCCACTGCCATCTCTCTGTTCTTCCTTCTATTTTTACAACCCTCTCTTTTGTCTTTAATAGCATAAGCGACGTCAGTTCATTTCCAGAGAGCGCAGGCAGCAAGTGAGGGAGAAAGGAGTGGGATGGAGGAAGTGATGTAGAGGATGAGGAGAGGGACATTAAACTTTAACAACTGCTCTACATTGCCATCTTCTCTTGCTGTTCCCTTCTTGCTATATCACCTCCCCACACACACACACACACACACATCTCTATAAATATTAGTCAGACTGTGCAAAAGAGCGGTAAAATATAATTCTCACATTTTTCAAAGTGCTAATGAGAAAGTAATGTCGAGGCTGCTGCTGACCTCATATCGCTTCTTCCACTGTTATCTTGGAGGGCTTAGACTGGTTTTACTGGAAGGGAATTATGTGAGGAATTGAGGGGAACATGAAAAAGGCTTGGTGATCGCGGTGGAATTTCAAGTGCAATGTGGATGAAAAGGGCATTATCAAAAAGGAGATGTGACATGTGGGCTCCCACTCACATTGTACAAAAAAAGGTTTAATTAATACTAATGAATGTAAAAGAAGGACACGCCGGCTGACAGGCTGTTCTGCACATTTATGAGAGCTTAGGTTGAAGTATTTAGCTTTAAAATAACCGAAGAAGCAGGTGTTTATCCACAAGTATAAATTTGACCTCTAGACACTTGTTTTCTTGACTACAGTTAGCTAAATATCTATTGCAGTCCTGCCATCAGAGACTTGATAGCTCCCATACCTCCATGACCTGCTTCCTACGGTGCGTCTGCTCGTTTTTCGTGTGTCTTAATGTCTGCCTTTCTCACTATCTTGTTGTTCGTAAGCAGTCGTTATCAGTCTGTGACTCAACATAATTGCCACTATGCATGCCTCACGCCTCATACACTTGTTATTCCAATTCTTAGTACTGTGTTCCTACTGTTTCCTCTTCTAACATGAATACAGCAACTGTTTGCATCCTCACCTTTTTATCTATCACCACTACATATTGTACTGTTCCTACATGTTCTGCTACCTCTCTTGTGTCTGGTCTCCATGTGACCTTGTGTCGTCTTTTTTTCTCTTTTCCCTTTTTCTCCAATCCCCTCCTGCAATTCTTGTCATCTGGCCCCTTTTTATTTTACTGCTCCCTCTCCTCTGCTATTCCTCAACTTTTTCTCCCTCTTTTTCTCCCCTTTTCTTTTTATTCTCACGTTTGTTTTTTTCTGGTTTTCACCCCGACCTCTTTTTGTTTTCTGTCGAATTGCTGCCCTTCTGAGTTTTTTTTTTTCCCCACCTCTACTCTTTCTTGCACTCTCTGCCACTCTCTTCTTGTCTGCCTTCGTTTTCTCCCCTCTCCCCGGCTGTCCGTCTGCGTTGTGTATCTCAGAGCCCATGGTGGTGTGCGCTGTGCACCCCCCTGCCTCCCATAGCGCTCCCTCCTTCCTGCGTCAGTATGCCGGTCATCTGGGCCGCACCGCCCTGCGCAGAGAGCCGGGTGGGGGGCTGGAAAGAGACAGAGCCTTCCTGAGCCTGCACAGGACTGGATCTCTGGGTACACACAAACACACACACACACACACACACATATAGACACTTGGACACACTCATAAGCAACAAGGAACATTTCAAGGTACTGATTATTCCATTTTGTGCTGCTTTGTACGCTATTAAAGGCCTTTTGATCTGTTTAGAACGTATTCAACTCTATGTAGCACTTAACATACCTATAAATGACCTTTCCTGCAACCAGCTACAACACAACTATTGCACGCACAATAATGCAAGTCAGAAAAATCTAATAACATAATCTAACACAGCAGGGCCAGTGATTACATTTTGCTACTAGTGCTAAAGTACTTACTCAAGCAAAACTTGAGGGACTTGAAGTGGACTATTTTATGACTACTTCCGGCTAAAGACTCTTGAGCAAAACAAACACAATCCCTCACATAGACGACTCATCCAACTGTTTTCAGTTTCATTCTGAGACTTTGTCATTTGTCTCTGTTATAACATTTTCTGCTGCTTGTGTGTGTCAATTATTCAGTAAACACAACTCTTTTGTATCTCTCTGTCTTTGAATTTCTTAAGATTTGCTTAATATTCAGTAGTGCATTTGGTTACTTGAATATATGTCTCAACCAGAACAGGATATTAGGCTTGAGCAATACTGCCACCTCTGGGTGGAAAACATACACACTGATGTCATGTAGTTGCCAATGATGTCAATTTTGCTTACCATAAGGGGGATGTGTATATATGCATGCGTGCTTGTGTTTCTGTGCGCGCATCTAAGTGGGCTTTCACTGACTGAAACCGTATTTACTGACACAACCTGGCTATTCTGCCGATGCTCACTATGAATGTGAAAGGATAAATCTCTAATGACCTTAATCCAACATACACAAACACACACACACACACATACATGCACATGCTCACAACGCTCACGTGCTCACACAATTACTTTTTCCTTCTGTCTGCATTATGTAATGTGGTCTGTGGCTATATGGATCCCAGTAATCTCATTTCCCACTGTGGCAGAACGGCTTATATCAGGAGCAGTAGGGCAGATCGCACTGAGGGAGGGAGAGTCAAGGATGGATGGAGAGAGAGGAACTGAAGATGATGATGCTGGAGATCGGTTTCGGATGAAACGGAGTTTAGAAAGCGGTGGGAGATTGATTTATGAGGGACTGAGCATGAGAGAGGAAGAAATGAAAAGTATGGATGAAGGTGGGGGCGGGGGGGAACTACAGACGGAGTGGTAGGAGAGTGTTTCACAATGGCTCCTTCAGGAGTCATATTGGCTTTGTGCTGTGTATCCCTTGAGTGAACTGCAGACAGACCATAATGAGACTCTTTGCATCCACTGAACTCTAGCGAAGGAAGACCAGTCTTATAACAGGAGCTTACAGTTCGTTGCAATCCTGCTACCTGGAAATGTGATAAGTATATTTGGATAAACCTTAAATTATTTCCGGGGAAGTAAAAGATACTGCAGAGTGAGGATGGATGTGGCTTACTGTTTTTGGTACTGTTGCTGATATGGTGTCTTAGTTTTGGCACCTATACTAGAATTAATTTTTTCCACATTATATTGTTTCATGCTAGTTAGGTTTAATTTCATTTGATTTTGGTAAATCTCTTGCATGGACTCTTTATTTGTGACTTTCTTTGAGCCAGTTTGTGACAATTACATCTACAGAGCATACTGACACAGATTAATATTTACATTTAAAGTCATTTGTAGTGTACTGTATATGAGAATAGTGTGGGAATATAGAAAGTCCTGTATAAATATCACATAATTTATTTAAGTGGATTATTTTGTAATTCAAATAAACTGCAATGGTTTATGTAGCTGTAACGATGAACATCCGGTAATATGTAGAATAGTGTGTACGCACCAAGCTTAAGGCCACAGATTGTTGCTTGGTCTGGCAGAGTGACTTCATTCTGTGAAATCGGCAGCTGCCTCTGCGCTCTGAAAAGCCCCCAAAAGGACACAGCTTGACTCAGAACCTAGAATAGATGCGACCCTACTATTAAAATCTTGATAACGCGTAGTTTGAAATGTTAAAAGGTACGCTGTGTCGCTGCGTGTGTGGGTATGAGTGTGTTTCCCACCGGTTGGTCTCGCTGACTCACGGTGTGCCACTCAGCAGTCGGGGCACGTTGCACCCTTTAATAGAGCAACATGATGATGCAATCTCTCTTTCCTGCTGCACTAAGGAGATTACCCACCCTTTCTCTGTCTCTCGCCGTCTCCCTCCATGTTGTTCTAACTGGCTCTATTTATGCATATGAGTATTCAGTTAACTACGCTATTAATCTGAGTAATTGGGCTTGTGTGCGGGGTTATGTGTTCGAGGTGTTTGGCCGGTAACCAGAGCCCCGGAAGATATTACAGGTTTGTGAGTCATCTGTTGCTCACTGGGCCAACACCCACTCCCACCACACTGTACTTACAGTCAGGAAAGATGAGCACTGCACTTTTCATTTTTGCTTTTCACCACTACCTCATCTCTCTCTCGCTCTCTCTCTCTCTCTCTCTCTCTCTCTCTCTTTGACTATCTGTAGTTACACTGTTGAGGATTAGCTGGACCTCCTGTCTGCTTTACTGAGAACAAGAACACTGCTGAAAGCTGCCTACTCTAGTCGAAACCCGTCGCTGGCTGCTATTTTCGATACCATCACAGATGTCTCCTCTCCTTCTTTTCTCCCCTCTGTCTCGGTGTCTGCCTCTTTCTCTTTGCATATATCAAAATACTATATTTAACCTCCAGATTAAAACCAGAATGAGGTGAAGATGAAAGATGGTAAGCTTTTCAGACCCTCCTTATCTCTCCTTGTGCATTGTACACCATGAGAGACCTTGTCTGTGCCAGGGATTTAATGTAATGCATTAACACTGCATTAATCGCTGTAGCCCTCTCCCTCACTCCCTACACTCTCAGCCATCCATTTGCTCACTCCCGGATTGGATTTATAAGAACAATGGAGTGGACTCCTTTTATGTAGTTGGTCTTATAAGCTTTTTATGTGTGTGTTAGGGCGACTTGCTGTTTCGCTGGCTTACGCTCGAGGCTAAAGGGAGATGCTGCTCACAAATGCTGGTGATTTTCAGAGCTATATGCCACAGAAGTGAGGCGTGGGGGTGAGATGTTTGGGAACAGCATAAACAGAGCCGGTAGCTTACAGTAGCAGCACTCTGGTCCCAGTAATTGAATAATAAGATTCCTTAGATGCAGATAAAAGGTTTAGAGGTAATTACTGCAGTCTAAAGTCTCCCAGCCCCCCGCCTTGTGATTGTGTTTCTCTTTGCGTGCGCGTTCCTCTGGGATGCTATATGCACTTTGATTTTTTTTTATTGTCTCACTAGTCCTGTAAGCACAGTGTGGTATTTATGGTAAAAGAAAGAAAACACTATGCTTTGAATGGAAACAAATGTGGTCAAGCAAATTTGCCACTGAAGACATTTAAAACAGGGCGACAAGAGAAAATGTCAAGGAATGAGACCTTGAGGGGAGAGAACAGCTATGTGGAGATGACTGCAGAGCAAGAGAGAAATCTTCCATGTATACAGCTGCACTTGTGAATATAAAGATGTGGGGAGACAGTGATGGGTGGAGGGCTGAGTGGCAAGCTTTTGTCCTTGACGTTTTAAGCAGCGTGAAGCCCAGGGATTCATCACTTCACATCAATACGTGTCTGTCAATGCACTGTAGATGACCATTACTCTCTACTTGAATCTACCTGAAGGTAGCTATGGGCCCAAATAAAGCAGTCTTAAATACATCTCACATAGGTTTAGTTATACCTATATTCCTGACAAATCGTTATTTGAACGCATTCCACAACTACCCAGATTAAAAATGCTTTCAGGATGTGTTAAGTATACACTATCCCAGTTAGGGTTTTGTGTTTGTGCATGTAGTCTTACAATTAAGAGCGTCATTGTTGACATGTAGGGTGTGCGAGTCTTACTGTGTTTTGTTAGTGAAGGTTTACAGGCCACCTTGGTTATTGACATGAGGGAAGAGGTGGGATTCTATCTCACAATAGTTGGAAACGTTTGAGGAAAAGCTTTTTCAAGTGTTAATCCTTGAGAATATTATGAGGAAAGAGGACATTTAATACTTTATCTTGCTGACATTTGCATGCAGTTGCCATTCAACACATTCATGTCTTTTAAATACTTCTTTTGATCTTTGTTTCTATGGTGGCAAGGTCAGCTGTTCCATTGACTGGCAACCAGACGAGGAAGGAAAAAAATGCAGAGAAGAAGAGTTGTGCATTGAAAATTTTAAATGTTCATTCAGTAAAAGTGCAAAAGTATTAACATAATAAAAATGTACTGTACGCATTCATTATGCAGAATGGCCACCATCACTTTAGTAGAGTTTATCTGCCTATAATTGATGCATAAACATGTAAACAGCAGTTACCTGATGTGGATTTAATACAATGTTTTCTGTTTTATTCTATGAAAAAAGCATGTTTTATATTTTCAACACATTTTTTTAATGTATGTGAGCAGTTTAAACCCCAATTCCAAAAAAATAACCAGTAACTATCAATGCTGAATAAATACAGTCAAGTAAAAAGTACGATCTCTCTGAAATGTACTTGAAGTACAAACTAACAAAATGGAGTAAAGTAAAATGCTAGTGCCTCAAAACTGTACTTTAGTGCATTACTTGGATAAATGTACTTTCCACTGAAGGTTATTACCAAGAAAACATTATTCACCGTTATAATATATGTAACAAAACCAACGCCAAATGCTTTACATTTAAGAAGCATCTCTCAGTGAAGGAAAAAATATAAGATTAAAATAAGTAGTTTTATTTAATTAGGCATGTTGATTTCACTGTACATTGCAGAAAACTACATCTTGATGCTGGTGGTTCTGTCAAAGCCAATACTGCAGATTTTACTTTGACATTTTCAAGTGGGTTGCTCAGGATGACTGCTTTTGCATCCCGCTAATGTAAATGTGCATCGTGTGTATGTTCTACAGGTGTGGGAGACAGAGCTGACTGTGTG